TATACTGGGGACGACATGTAGGGAGACGGTAATGCTATTTCAACAGGCCATAGTATTACTGCCAGTATTTTTCAACACACTTAACCTAGAATGAATAGAACCAATGACGAAAAGTTACGCCTTTTCTTTATTTGCTTATGTAAGTAGATTATTCTTACAAAGGACACTTTCCCGCAATAATTCCACAAAAAGGATTCACCCGGGATTCACTCGGTAAGAGTTGCAACAAACCGAGAGCACTAGCAAGAGTCCTAATGGGGCACTGTGCATTACGAAGGCACAAGCTAGGCGATACTGCTGCTCCAGTCTGCAGATATTATGAGGAAGAGGAAAAGAAGCCCCTTTGCCCATACTATGTGATTGTTGTGCCTTAAGCAGAAAAAAATGCTCACTTACACTTTAGAGACCATATTCTTTAGGTGAAGAATTTGTGTCCACGGCACGTTGTCGTGCTTATTCCGAATTTGGGCCTTCTTCTTCTCGCTTCGGTTTCCTCAATACTGAGGGTCCTGACCACCTCCTCCAAATTTGGGCCTAAAAACATATACATCTAACACACAGGGGACGTCACGAGAGATCTATGCGGGATGCAGTGATAGGTTTTATAGTTCTCCCACACTTTGCGAACATCAATAAATCCTACATACCAAAAAAGTATAACAAAGATATTATCCGCACAAGACGGATGAAGCGTGAATTTGAAATTTACATTATGCGTCTTCGTCGTGGTCTAAATGATAAAATGCCCGGTGCTTTCGCATCGAGCGATACCACTGAGCCGGTGTTCGATCCCGCAATTCGTTTTCTCGAATGAAATATGTACTTAACGTAACTCCGCCAAGCCTTTTACTGTGAAGGCATAATATCATGTAATATAAATCAAACCCAAATCTACTAGCCGATTCTGATTTGCGTAATTACTGGTCGTAGGGCTGTGTAATTTCTGAGCCTAAAATATTTAGATTACATAAATAATTACATTAAACATTTCATATCGGAAGACGAGCGCGATTGTAGGGCACAAAAGCATGAGCCAGCGCGGTTGTAGTTAGAGAACAAAATGCCTGTCTGAAAAGTCACACAGCAAATAGGGTATCTTTTACCGCCTCGCAGTTTTTAATTGCGCCGTTTACAACCTCAAATGGTTTTATTAGTCCGCACGTGTAGGTACCACCACCCGGTTTATTACTGCCACGAAACCTGTGTAACTCTTAATGCGTTTCGATTGGAAAGGTACCTAGCCGTTGTACCATAGAACAGCGTTTTAGAAGTCATGTTTCAAGTTGGCATTTGCGTTGTTGATGTCCGTGGGCTCCAGTAACCAATTAACACGAGGAGGCTCATTCACCCATCAAAACAAAACAAAACAATATATTTCCCAGGAACATTATCCTGCAGACCCTTAAGGCGTCAGAAGGCGCGAATACACTCAAGTTTCCCGATTACAAGACCACGAAACGTGAGGTGAAATATTTGTAGTCACAAAGACTGCGAATGAAACCCAAAGTAGGTACCTACAGGACCCTAAATGTACTGTGAATTTTAACTAGTACGGGAACGTGTTCAAGTCGCGTAAATGATAGAGTATTTAGAGAGTATTTATTTAGGTATTCCATGATAGGGCATTCCATAATTGATTATTTAACGTGCATCTTCTGAGTTCATTCTGAGTTACTGTTGCTCTTTGTATCGTCCTCTTTCTCCTCCTCCCGTCGTATTTCTCAATTCCAAGGCTCGTGACCACCCTTCTGTATCACTTTCTCTTGCACGATTTTTCTCCATATGTCTCTGTCTCTGGCGGTGTTGAGGGCGTTGTGACCGGTTAAGTGGAATCCCATCCACTTCACCGGTCACGATGAGTCTCGAAGTTGTTTCCATCCTTCCTTGAAATGTAGCCGAAGTATTCGGATGACGGCCGCAAGGAAATTTTGCTACGTTCTAATATTGCATACTTCCTATTTTATATCTAAATGGACTGAAATCGGAAAATAGAAATACCGGGAAATAAAAACATCAAAACAGAATCACAGCAGCGCGTTAAATTCGTAAATGAATTAAAAAACAAACGTGTGGCACTCGGGAACTGCCGCAGTAAAGCTATTGCATAGCATTTTTTATCAACTTATGCAATTATAATTAGACAATGATAATTTAATATTAAAACAATAATAAAACAAGACCACGCTATATTAAACATTAATAAAAGCAAAACATTAACTGTCCCCTCCACACTCATAAGCTAGACCGCGCGAGAGAGAGATGGGCAGACTTTTCATGATGCGCATGCAGTGTGACGTCACGCCACGCGCTTATTCACAAACACTACACAAGCGCAACGTGTGAATGTGTTGAACGCGAGCTACATAGTAGGCGTACTTGGGTGTCAGGTTATTTTCGTTACGGAATTCGGCGGATTCAGTCACCGCGCTCAAAGCGCGCGATAAAATCTATGCAATAGCTTAAAAAAAAAACTTCACCCTTCTCCGGTAATTTCTAAGTCCGTATTAGGTGTACAATCACATTTTTAGGCAAGTGACCCTCTCGCTACCGTCCTGCGTTGCGTATTCGAACGTTTTCAAGCGAACCGTCGAACGAATGGTGACAAAGCAGAATTACTTTTAAGCGGAAATTTCGCGTGCTCACCGTAATAATGACCGAAATGAAAAGCTCCGTCGGCCGCAAACAAACCGAAACCAACTAAAAGTTTTAAGTTGCGAAGTTCGACTCTCGTCGGAATTGCGTGAAGCGACGAGTCCTCGTTTACGGAGCGAACGGCTCGTCCGATTTGACTAATGACAACCGAATTCTTCTTGTGCTGAATGATTGGGACGATAACTAATTGTTCCCTAGGCGGCTTCCGGCCGAATTGTTTTAGTTCCGACGAGTGAGTTTACTAATATTTACCGATCTGTCTTTATGCCTGAAACTAAGCCACAACGGACAACGTTGCTCATAACAAATTTTACTATAAAAAATTTAATGGTGGTAGGACCTCTTGAAAGTCGGCACGGGTAGGTACCACCACCCTGCCTATTTCTGCCGTGAAGCAGTAATGCGTAACCGGTTTGAAGGGTGGGACAGCCGTTGTATCTATACTGAGACCTTATAACTTAGATCTATCTAAGCAATAAAGAAAAAACAAAAAATATCTTCAGACCCAAACTCTATATGAGAGTATTCGACTACACGACTTAAAATTTGAATTTAAAGAAAACAGCTTTTTATACAAACGCGCTTATAAATAAGCAAATTCACGATCAGAAAAATTTTAGCCACACTTATTTATTTACAAAGCAGTATATTATATAATCATGATAAGTAAATAACAGGACTGACCTCGCCTCTACGGTCCACACTCCAACTCTAATGAGACCGTATTTCTCCATTGTGGTACTGGTAGTCTGTAGGCATTGAGAATTTAAATTGTCGGCCTCACAAAGCCGGTTTTGGGATAATTCAATCTGCCAGGAAACAGGCATTGTCCAGTCCTTGTTCTATACAATACAACTTCAGTTACGATAAATAAGTATTCTTACGTGGTTAAGATGGTATATCAAGACAATTAATATTTTAACATAATTTTAAGCGTGTATCAACTGTCGCATAAAATTGTCACAAATAACTTTTAAGATTCATCCACCATATAGGTATCATCAATATATTTTTGCGAAAAGAACATTGGAGTCACTTTTCGAAATTTTTTCAATTCATAAAAATGTTTTCTTAAAATATTAAAAAAATATTGTGAATTTAATTTAAAAAATAACTTTACAATGTAATCTCGTTGTCTCGGAACAAAAAACCTAAGATGAAACTGTGAGAGAAAATATAATTATCGCGGAAACCGCGGAAAATACGATATTTCTAAATTGTTTCAAAAGCTTACACTAATGCAAACCATGTCAATAAAAGCACGTATATTATTATTGTGTACCTACATAATATGTCTTACAATCAGTTGTTTAATAAAATATATAAACTAAATAAAATAAAGCTTATACAATAATAAAAACTGTAAAATTTTACAATTTTCAAACAATGACTATGCGACTGACTAAGACTTGTAATTATTTATATTATTCTTTTATATTTATCCGTACACGTTATTCGCTAACAATACCTTTAAACACAGAGTAAACATTAAGCGTCATTTTAAAATTACCATGAAATTCCCGCCATGAGAAAGGACGGGGCTCAAAAACGAATGCTTCCCGACCGTTTGAACCGATTCAAAGTAATCACCATGAATTGTGATTGCGTTTAATAAAATTGTTTAAAAACACCGGCTAACGGCTTAATGACGGCCCTGGAAATATGCCATGGGAATTTTACCATGTGACTGCATGCAATCAGCCTTTTTACTTTAGCAAAACTGCCCATGTGTGCAACTACCAATTATGGATCATTCTAGCATTTATATTTTACGTTTAATGCACACAAGACAGTTATTATTTATTTAAAAAAAACAGTACATACCTATATAATTGAAAATTATTAATATTTCATGACATTTAGGAATCCCTTAACCTTATGATTTATTGTACACAAAACATATCGTCTTCTCGCATTAAAACTGTATAATCTCAAAACTTACTAATTTTACAGGAGAATGTTTTAAAGGTTGAACATTTGATATTTTTAATATTAATCATCTTTGCAACATTTATTTTTTAGCTTTTACCAGTTACATTATCTGTCTTTTAAAGTAAGATAAAATTATGTATTAATTTTGTTAATAGTAGTCAAAATATACGTAAACTAAAAAAAAAAAAACTAAACTACGCTCTATTGACAGTATTTATGAGAAAAATACTGGTTTTACTAAATGATTCCGCATATTAACTCAATTTCGAATATTTTTGGAAATTGTACACTTTTAATGCGAAAAGACGATATAATATTTCAATGATTTTGAGCAAAAATCGATTTAAAGAATGTTTTAATTCAACTATTAAAAATCTCAAAATCCAATCACTAATTCTGTTTTTCTTTATCCACAGATGGCGCCATTGCGATATGCCCACGTGATTTTTGCCTTCCTTGCCGCTAATTATATCATGGTTCGTATATCTTACATGAATAAGAACTTAGGTCTATACAAGGAAGTGCATGAAAATAACACAAGACATGGTCTACTAATATGGTCATTTCAAACAACAGTTCGTGCCGTCCGTATCTCACTAGCCACTAGAGCAGTGAGATATCGATTCGATTATCGATGTTGATAGAAGAACTTGGATGCCACAGCCGCTCCCAGTAGTTTAAATGTGCGAATAATTATTTAATTTTTTACTTAAATTTAAGTTTTAATAAAAATTGTAGGCTTAAACTATTATTGAGCATATATTATTTTCATTAATATTTATTGTGATAATATTGAGATCGAGTTGTTTAATTGTAATAACTGTTTAGTTAGAATGTAGCTCAAAACGAAAATATATATTAAAGAGACGAATTTACGGAATGTATTCAGTGTTCCGCAGCAATTAGTGGCGGGCGCCAATAAATCGCGATGGAAATATCGATAACGTGATCTAGTGTCGTGCTCGACGTGCCGTGAACAAATCGATTTTAATGAATGGTTATCGATAACGTAATAAGCTTTTTTCAAATGGAAATACAAGTCCACTGTGAATCTACGTCGTATTTACGGGTAACTCGACTGTTTCCATCAATACGCACCAATGAATCGTGCGAACAATTATCGCGGCCCACGCGAAACTGAACGCAAAATACAAACACATTCTTGTTCTCGGATGCGTTCCATTCTCCAATCTGCATAATGCGCAGCACTCATTTACCGAACGTTTGTGAACGACAAATGAAGCGGTGGAACAAAACGTTTTAAAATCGCCAGTTTCGAATGACCTTTGTCTTTGAGGCCGCTGTTTACCTGAACAGATCTACGCCAGATGGTCTTCCGGTTTGCAAACGCAAATATTCGCGAGAGCCCACGTCTTTAATGGCGCGTAAACAGAGAACACTGATTGTACGCTTCGGGTAATGTCCATTTAGTTATTTCCTGTTTCCGCGCAATCATTCAGATCATTTATCATATTTTTAAAGAGATAAAATTCAGTTTCTATTAAAAACTTTATATCAGAATTCCAACGCTACTACTGTCTTGCGTATGTAGGTACGTTTAAACCACCTACTCCAAAATTAATTAATAGATGATTGGTTTCGATATCTCAGCGGCGAACGCTACTACATACCTGCCACAGGCTATGTACTCCTGGTAATTCAATAGACATTTTCACTTAATCATTCAGTTGATTAGTGTTTAATTATGATTTAATGGTGACGTACATACACATAAATTGTGAGGTAATTAACAAAGACGCACCCAGAACAATTTATGTGTATAAATTTACAGTTATTGATGATTTATGTCTTATGATATGACATAGCTTCATTATAAGGTGTACATTATTAGTTTTTATTGTTTAGAGTCTGTCTTAGACTACTGAGCGTAAATTCCGTCACCCACCTAACATGACAGTTCTAGTTCTATAGTATAAAGACTACCCCGTCCTTTAATCCCAGACGCATAACTGTTTCGCGGCAAATATAGGCAGAGTAATGATACCTACCACTATTTGAGCCCACCCACCCGTACGGTTTCATAAGACACCCTAACACCAGTGTTAAAAATATAGTAATTCTTTAATTAGATTTAAAAATTATGAATCACGTTTTATTCCTTTTCAAGTGCTATTAAGATAACTCTAAAGAAATCTTCACCAACGCTTAGAGGTGGAATTTTCAATAACTCCAATAGTCATGCAGCTTTTCTTTAAGTGCTTCCACCTTTGTCGGTCTGTCAGGAGCATTATTATACACGAATTTCACTAGTATATACTGAGCTCGTACCACCACCAAATAAGGCACCACTAAGATATCTCTGCCGCATAGCAGTCAAAAACTCAGGTTTGAAAAATAAAACAACTCTTACAACACAATCGCAACTTGAATAACCTCAACTCGCCATCATTACAGGCTGCAGACACGTATACCTTCGAAGGCAATGAATCGTAACTCAACGGAGTTGGCGGCATTCAGGGCGTGGCAACTGCGGTAAAACCATTAGCATCAGGCAAACGAGCAAAATCTTGAAACAATTTGTATTTTGTAAACAATGACGGCATTGTTGGGTGTCAGCCATCTTGAAACATTTTACCTAAAACATCAACTACTATTGCCCGCAACACTTAAAATAGTTAAATATTAAATCTCAACAACCCAACCTCAAATTATTTACCCTTCCAAAGCCCGGAGGCGACGCCACTTGACAGCCAAAGTCAACCAACGTAATATCCGGAACGATTTGTAACGCAGCCTCCTCGTCTTCGTATCTCGAATTTTTAATCAAGTAACCGTCGGAAAGCGCTAATTTGAATAACGGCCCGCCGGTGGCCAGCGAAAGGGTTGTTTTAGGGTTCCGCACTAACAATGCTTCGCTAAGAACGGTCCTCTAATGGCCTAGAACTTAATGGTACGGGTAAACTTAGGAATTTGCATTTTAAATGACATCTGTTATTGTGCCAGGGAAATCGTATTTCTGCCCGTGGAATTAGGATGTGGACGTTTTGACCCGTGCCGCTTCCGGACGGGTCGAATTGCGTGACCCATTCCATTACGGCGCTAATAAGGATTAAGCGAACGGGATTAGTTTTAAGAGCACAAACTCGTTTCTGTCTGTGCCCATTGTAAGGTTTAGAGGTCAAAGCCATTCAAAAGTACCTACATTTATTGTAAATAATTAATTCGTATGAATAGAAATTTTCGTTTAATTAAAACTTCTTTGCATTCTAACATTCAATTGGTGGGACTGATATCAAACCCTGGAAATCTCAACTGCTACACTTAACTAATCAATTGTGAAAGTTTTCACTGCTTAAGGAAAATCTAAAGCTAGGATCAAGTATTCTAGAAGCATCACAGTTAAAACGGAGAAAACGAAAGTGATTCACATTAATTACATTATTAAATTTTTATTATCATTTTTGTTAACAAAATCTACCAGTGCTTTTTTCTTCCAAATAGAAATGGTGCAGATCTATTGAATCTTGATACGTTACGTGACATCATTAGCCGAATAAGTTGTGTATCGATCACAAGTACTAAACAAATTAGGTTCCGTCGTAAACTTGTAGCAGCATCAGTATCATAGAATAGACAATATATAACTAGAACTCAAATCGCGGTAACGACATTTTAAAGTTACGTTTGCTTACATGTATGTATAACAGTTCCGAACAACATTTGGACCGTCGTTTCGGTCTATTGAGGAACAGCTCAACCCCGGTGGATGATCTTCCCTTAATGTTTTCTCCAAAGGCTAATAATACTGGTGGTAGGACCTCTTGGGAGTCCGCACGGGTAGGTACCACCAGCCCGCCTATTTCCGCCGTGAAGCAGTAATGCGTTTCGGTTCGAAGGGTGGGGTAGCCGTTGTAACTATACTGAGATCTTAGAACTTATATCTCGAGATGGGTGGCGCACTTACGTTGTAGATGTCTATGGGCTCCAGTAACCATTTAACACCAGGTGGGCTGTGAGCTCGTCCATCGATCTAAGCAATAAAAAAAAATAAAAAATCTTGCAGTATTCCAAATTGAGGTTAAAAATACCCTTTATTTATCTTAGAGAACCTTACTTCAACCTACGTGTACCGATGTTCGTGTATTTTTCTAACATTAAACTGGCGAATCTCAATTATGTAATTTGCATACCTATTAAGCGCCGCGTACACTTCGCCATTTTTGTTCGCGGCCCGCCTCCCCGAACCAGTTACCGCCTTTTTTATGTACAAATTACGGTCGTTCGAAAAATAGTTCATCGTGGAAATTACTTAATGATACAGCTACTTTCACGATGAAAATTTTGTTAGCATTTCTTGGCGGTGCTTCGTAAAATTACGAAAACTAAAGTAAAATTCGCATGTCACCTGAAGTTAGGCTAAATCGCATTATAGAAAACATTCTTGTAATCGTTTGATTACAAGAATGTTTTCAAAGCACAAATGTTCACGATTGACTTCCACGGTGAAGGAATAACATCGTGTAATAAAAATCAAACCCGCAAAATTATAATTTGCGTAATTACTGGTGGTAGGACCTCTTGTGAGTACCATCACCCTGCCGTCAAGCAGTAATGCGTTTCGGTTTGAAGGGTGGAGCAGCCGTTGTAACTATACTTGAGACCTTACAACTTATATCTCAAGGTGGGTGGCGCATTTATGTTATAGATGTCTATGGGCTCCAGCAACCGTTAATACCAGGTGGGCTGTGAGCTCGTCCATCCACATAAGCAATAAAAAAAACAAAGGAACGGAATAATGAATGAATGAATGATTCATTTTATTTCAGACAACAACAAAAAGTCCATATCTGTACATATTATCATTGAAACATACTTAAAATTATCAAAACCAATCAAAGAAAAAAGATACATTTATTAAAAATAATTATCAGTTGAATACATTTAAAATATTTCATTCAACTGATACTCATTTCGAATGTCTTATCCAACGGATGTCTGCGTAGACCGAGATGACGGTCTGAATTTTGTTCAGTATTTTTATATTAATTTACAAGCTTTTACGAAACTACTATTAGCGTAATACGGTTGTTTGCTAAATTTCTTTTATTAGTCAAAAGATAACACTATATGAGTCCCAATAATGACATCGGCTCCAGAAAGCTAAGTTCCGCTCCCTAGTTGTAAATCCTGTTGCCGTTGTTCTTAAAAGCACAATCTCGCACATCAATATGTGAAGTGAACTAATACTAGCGTTCCTCCCTGATGCGAGAAATGCGAAAACACCAAGTACTTCAAACGCTATTTTGCGGTAAAAAAAAATCTCAATAACAATATTAATAAAATCATTGTACAGTTTTTTATATCTCCGAACATATACCAGACGAGCTGAGCCACTTAATTTCGCCTACCTTAAAAAATATTTGTCTTTTTTTTTGCAAAATAACTCCCTAGATCACAAAGAAATAAATTACATTTTAATTTTAATCAATCGAACTGTTGCTTTATTACAAAAATG